TAAAATTCCAATAACAAGTGTCCTCCCGGGAAACTCAAAAATCCAAGATTGTGTCCAGGTGCGATTTCTTACAAAAACATCAATTTTTCTTTCAGAAATGTTTAAAAGAAGCAAACATATTTTTCCTTATTAATATTTCTGACTTTTTGCTTCCCATACCTGCATATGACGCCCGAAATGGCACTCAAGTTGGCTTTTATATTCTATCGAAAATGCTGTCTACATGACTATTTTATAAGCATTATCACGTTGACGTTGTTTGAGATTTATTTTATCATACTTTTGAAATGGTTAATATTTGCTAAATCATGTAAAATAACCTAAGGTGTGGACAAGGTAAACTAAAGCTAAAACTGTTTACTAAAAATTTATAATGGCATGTAAGATGAGTGCCAGCTAAATGAAAATGATTCTTATTACTACATGTAGTATTTATTATATGTATTTCTTAATTTTTGGTACTAGGCAAAACTACTGCATATATTCCTTTTTTCTATAATTTTCATTACATGCGTTTCAAAGATTAAAGTTATAGTATTTGTTTTAATTAAAAAATAAATAAATATTTAATGCTCATAAACAGAAAATTATGACGAAAAATGTTTAAAAATGTTATAACTTATAGATATCCTGCATTTTTTTCTCTTGCAATTCAATCATGATTTGTTTTCTCCTGAATTATTTGGCAGAAAACAAGCTTCTTGCATTTGATGGCTCTGAAAGTTTCCATTTAATAATGATTCTCAGGTAAAATATATTTTAAGTGGTTTACGTTTAAACTATAAATGTACAAACTTTTTCATAATTCATTATTCTAGTAAGTACTTTTCCTGGTTATTTACAGAAAAACATCTGGCTCATATTACAAATTTCATATATATTATTGGACGTACAATTGTATATTATTGTGAAATATGAAGAGAATATATTCTTTAAAGCCATTTTTTAAAGCCGCATGCCTCCATATGAGCCAAAATATTCTAAGAAAAAATGAAATTTTCAAAATTGATGAACATGCAGATTTTTTAGTAAAATAAAAATATTAACAATTCAAGAATTCGAGTAACAAATTATCAAACAAACATTTATCAAAATGTTAACAAAATTCTTATTATCTTCCAAACCGTTATACAACAGTTATCATATTTGTGAAGTTCTTATAAGACCTTCACAATGGTGAATAAGTAATGTAATGGACAATAAATGGTGCATTTTATGAGATGACCAGTAATTGTGACCTGACTTAAGGGAAACGACCTATAGATATCCGTTTGGACATTGTGTCATGGAGATGATCATTTGTGCCAAAATATTTCTTAATTGTTTTAACTAACATATTTTGGATCAATGTCTTGTTATATCTGCCACCTTTTAAAACATCTCCTTCATTTTGCATGTCTATACATGATATCTTGTGATATCAATATGCAAACGCACATGAAAGATGAACGCGAAAGGACATCATCATGTCTATCTTAAAAAATATTGCACTAGATTTGAAAATATTCAAGATTCATTGAAGTTAACCATTTTATTAACAGTTTAAATATGCTGGTCCATTGTCCTTAATGAACTAAGACATGACTTTATTGACCTAGTATCACTTCTCTTCCAAAAGTTACCTTATGCCGTTAGCTTCCTTCAGACTGGACAAAGGCAATATTTTTTCACCATTTTAAAACAGGGTAATACTGGTGCTCTCCTTCAAACTTGTTAGCAATATCCCTTACATGTGTTCTATATTATTAATTAGAACAAATAGCATCCACCAAGTTCAAAAACCACAATATCTCTATGTGTTACAGAATGAATTCTGCAAAAGACTTAAGTCGACAATGTGAAGCACAAGCAGTAGATCATGAAGATAAATTAGCCCAAAATCTTGCTAATAGGTTACAGACTTGCTTCCTCTTGATTGATTTAAGTAAAGCAATTGAGAAAGCCAGTCACTTAGATCTTCTCTACAAAATTCAAATGTATCACCTCCATTTTCAACGACATATGGCAAATATGCCATTTTCGTCGCTCCTTATACAATTTTTCACACCTCTTTATCTCCAAATCAACCTTGATTGTACGACAGTGAGGCCCTCAAAAGTCACCATGTACTTAGAATCAGGAATGCTATTTTTTATCCTTGAAGATCGTTCAATTCTGTGTTTGAGTGAACTTTTAGTAATAACGTTGTGTTTCTTTTTTCTAAGCTGGTGGTTCCAGTATTCCTTTATTGAATAATGTTTAATCTCTTTTAATATAGTTTCTGTCTTTTGAATTGTCTTTCAACATCCTTTCGGCATTATAAACTTTTTTTCGTGATCATGTTCCAAAATTTAATTTTCTTTAGTTCTGCGCACTGTTATCTTTTTTATGGCATACACATTTTTTACTTGGCATTTATTCATTGAATGACACTTGACGTGTCATATGTACACATTGAAGGTTCTATGATCTCTGCCGTATAAACATATAGAAATTCATAATAATACCGTTTAGAGGTATAAACCTGAATAGAAAGAACTAGTTTGCATTTCTAGTTTCTATTATCGATAGATTATGTCTAATTATGCCACATAACCAACAGATAGTACTAATCTAGCTACATTTATATTTCGTAAATTGTATGAAATGTGGATTTTCAGTTTCCGTGTCCAAACTCCAATTGTGTTTAATTTAATAAAAAATTTCCACCCGTCACGTTATTATTTATATGCATTAACGCACATCATTGGTTAATCATCAACATGTCCGGTATTTGTATATTTTGAGTTACCAATTCTAGAATAGTTTACCCCTTACTCAACAGAAAGGTAAACTTTTTGACCTAAATGACAAACTTTTTTTTAAAGACAGAAATATGTTTAGCATACCTCTCTATTTAACGATTAACAACTTTTAATTGATTTAATTTGATTCCAATGTTCATTTCAAAGGTTAAATGGGCGAGTTCTTGTTAAAAATAGTATGGAAAATATCACGAGTATGATTATACGGTATTTATGACCATTAAACGAAGAAAATGTCGCATCATAATTTTCAAACATAGCCATAAATTTGCGGATGCACTTTAATAAATAAATTCTAAAATTAAAACTCAAAATGCACTTTACGTTTTATCGTCACATGCAGCTGTTAAAAGTGCATCACATCGTTAACGACTTGAATCTCTTAAGTTCCTATACACTTAAATTCATTAAATGTAAGTTCTAAACAATCTGCATTTTAAATGCTGTATGATAAATCGCATAGACATCTTATCGAAAACTTTTTTCAGAATTTCTTTTCGGAGAAAACTGAGCTGTGTCCTAATCCCCTTGATGGCTTTGGCGTTGATTAACCTTTTCGTTCAGGTGTATTTACTCACCAAAGCTAGCTATTCACTTCTGACTTGGTGTTTGCGCTCATAACCACAATGTGACACCTTTAAAAATGACAGATAGCAAACGTTTTTAATGCAGTTAAAGAGAAATAGATATACGGTTAAATTAGTTGTGTAATGGTTTAGCACGATTATTCCGTGTTAACTGAACTTAAAGTGTATATGTAATTAATAGATACGCCGCTCGAGGTTTTGGCATTGCATTTTACTGGTCGTATTGCCAACCCGGCCATCCCTTTAACCTTTGTCAGTCTTAGACGTTTTCTGACTTTAGATAGCCATTATTTATTTACTTACATCAAGATAAGTCAATTGTTTGAGAAGATACCTGGAGTAATTGAATAAGTAAAAACAAGTTTTTAACTTTATTGACAGTTACGCTTTTGATTCTTGCTATCCGTGGCAATACCGAGATGTTATTAATCAAGATAATAGTTTATTGTACAGGATGTGAGCTTCAATATTATTAATTCAGAGATTCAGCTTCCGAAGATATAGAATGTTATATATAATTATAACCGCCAATAAAAGAAATCTACTCTCAACCTAATTTTGTATAAGACGTCTGAAGACGTTAACGTTGTCTTTTACCTTGACAAATAAATGAAAAAGTTAATTATTCAAGAAATGTTGAAGATATATTAAAATATAAGGATAAGCTGGCTTAAATATTGCTTCAAGAGCAAGAGAACTGATATCTTCTTAAAGTGAAAATGTCCATTAAAAAGACGTGTCGTCATGTCCTGTCAGTTCACATGCTGGCATTCATGTAATTATTTCACTTGGTGAAATTGAGTTGCTATTATCAATTAATGTATTAAAATTAGTAAAATACTCATTATGAATCTAGCGAGACATTCGAGAAATCTTATAAACCCAGTCAAGTGTTTTTCTGTTTTAACATTTAAATTTCATGTTCAATCTTGTATCAACTGACCCTTGCATTTTTGTTGATTTTTGATAAATATCAGTTTTTATTCAATTCGTATAAACCATTATATGAAAATAAGAACTTGCGGTCATTATTTTAAATGGTATATATTTATAGAGTAAATGTAGGAAGTGCTATAGTATGATTATACAAAAATGAAACCTGGCTTTAATGTTAAATGAATATCGGTTTTTATCAGATTGCTCTATGCAGCAATAAAACGTCTTTATTCTCTTGCTAGTTTCAAAATGTACATTTCCTTAATTTTTAGGACACAAGGTTTTAAATTATTGTTTCACTACTTTATATTTGTTTGATTCGTTATTGATTAATTCATGACTACTTTTGGCATATTACGCGATACCATATATTCTTAATGTATATGAAAAATAAGATCATTGCGGTAGGGTGCCTGGGCGAAAAGCGATTTCACAATTTTGCACTAAAAAACTGAAAAACGATTTATATACTGATGTTGTATAATCTTGTTATTATAAGCAGAAAATTTGCTTTATTTACACAAATTGATACATTTTGAAAAATAATTGTACAACCACCCAGAGGTAATAAAGATGTAGTGGTTTTCACAGCCTATTAAATATTTTAGAAATTATATAAACGTATCATCACTACGATATAATTGAAGTTAAAATGCAAAAATTTATATATTAGGATAGAGAGAATTGATTTATGAACAAGTATAACATCATATATCGTTTTATATCATTTAAATGATCATATATATTTTATGTTTTTTTCGTGATCAGTATGAATACGGGTTTGTATTATTCAAATCGTATTTAAGTGTAATGATATTAAAAGTGAAGTAAAAAGACCCACAAAAACATCAAGGGTTGCTCTGTCACGGAAATAATTGCAAACGTGAGAAATTTGCAAGCATGTGTAACGGTTCATATATTACGGGACGAGTATGGTCACAAGACTTGTTCTGTAGATATATAAGGAGATACCTCACCGGTTTTGCGGGTATTTGCTGTCAAAATGATTCAAAAGATTGTGATAGCCATTGCGTGTTTTCATGTCGTAGCTGGTGACTTTGTGTTCCATGAAACATTACCGGACACGGTTAACGAATGTTTTGAAAATGCAAAGGTAAGAGTATATTGTGAAATAATTATATTTAATTTATCTAATGAAGTGCGCTATTCTTTTCATGAAGATTTATTTTACTTTTTATTTATTAATAAGGCAGCTATTAATTATATTTTGCTTAACTTTAGCATTTAAATGTTATTATAAAATTGAAACTTTAATCATAAGTTGTTCTTAAGAATCCATTAGTTATAGTCATTTTTAATAAATAATTTTAAATAAGCATTTGATAACATAAAACACAACATGATAATGATATAAATAATATTTTAAATAATTGTGCCTTTTAGGTAGTGACGTTACTAAGGTGGTGAGATCCTAGTAAAAGGTCCGATAATTAAGGCAATTTTCAGAATTAGATAATCATAATTTTTTCATCTTTCAGAAAATGAAAGTTCTGATTAATAATAATAATAATAATAATAATAATAATAATAATAATAATAATAATAATAATAAATTATTATAATAATGAGAATAAAGATAATAATAACAATATATTATTATAATTATTATTATTATTATTATTATTACCAATGATTTTTCATTTAATTTTGCTATCAAAACTGGAATTTTATTTGCCTGATATATATTTTTTTATTTTCAAAAAAGGCATGTACATGTATATATATGCGTAATGTTTACAATGAATCTTATTTTTCAATATTTCTTAGCTTTTTCTTTAGTATTTAATTAAGTAATTTTGCAAAATCTTTCTCAAATTCTAAAAGATCATGAAAGTATATCAATTAAACACTCCTACTCGGCATCTGTTAGCTAAATTTATAATTATCCATATGTAAATGAAAACTTCCCCATTGCTTAGTGAGCTTTTAAAACAAGTTTCAAACGCATTCTGTTTTCAATATCACTACGTACAACTCTTTTGGAAATCAGTCAAATAATATTTAACTCGCTGAAAGCGAATGGTGAAATAATGTTTCGAATTTTACATCGAATGGAATTTTTATTTCTTTTTAAATAAACCATATGAAGTCATGCAAAAAGTTTAAACCGAATTTGATATTCATTTTTATATAAAGTCAGGAAATGTTAGTATCGTAATCACAAGTCAGATAAAAAATAAATCTTGTATTGATACTTTTTTCCTATACGACCTACTAAATTTTGATGCAAAAGTGAAGTTTTACAACTAATTTAAAGTAAAATTGTACATGTACTTACAATAAGCCAATTCATGTTGCCTAAATGAGCAAAGTTCATGTAAACATACTTTCAAGACGAATGGTATATATTATATTATTTCTTTATAAACTAGATAAACTAGTTACACCATTTCGTATTGTCATAACCTAATATTTGATATTATTTTGCCTATTACAGAAAGAGCCAGTTAACTTCCACCGTGCTCAAAGAGCATGTATGTTGGCATACTATACCGAAGTCTTGCAACCTCAAAATCTAACAGACGAGGACAAAAGATTTTTTGCAGAACGACAAAATTCGAGGTATTTTTATTTCTCTATATTGTATATAGAAAAACGAATGTTCTTCGAATTAATTTACTTCATATATTTTTTTCTGATTCTAAGATTATTTTCTCTCTAACATGTTACATGTGAAGTGGTCTTTGTTTAATACATTGTCTTTTGATTAATATTTGATTGAAAAATTCTACAAAGACATTAGTTCATCAATTCAGTTAGTTCATCTAGAATAATTAAGGTCGTACTGTTTTAATTTTTTCTAAGTTATATATATATAAACAGAAAGCAGTAGTTTTTCTTTGTATTTATCAAGTTAAGTTTCAATCGTTCAATTTATATATCAAATAAAATAATTATAAAATGCTCAGTCAATTTGTATACAATAATAAACATTTCAGAACAATACAAAGTTTTTAAGTTGAATTGTCCTGCTGGGCTCTTTGTCGGTTGTCCTGTTTTGCTTGGTTGTGTTGGGGGATGCTTCAGTTTATTAAATGTCACACTTCCTTATTGATCATGTTTTTCATATTCTATCAAGTCAACCATGTTTGAAATGTTTAAAATTTATTTAATAGGTTTATGTTTACTCCTCCGAAGACGGGGTTTCGGCTGCGTCGTGAAATTCGGACATTGTCAAAGGAAGAGAGGCAAAGATTTTTCAAAGTGCTGCAAACTATGTACAAGGTTAATAAAAGTTAATAATTATTAAATTTGTAATTCTAATTTATGTATCGTTTCCTGACATTAAATAATGAAACGTTTGTGATAATGCCATAACTTATTCTAGTTTTTAAATATGCGCTTCATTTTAAATCCAAAACAATGTAATGATTGATATTATGTTCTACAATATTGATGTAATTTTCGTATTTCTTGGTTACCGATGCTTCAGCCCAGCCGCTGCCAGGGAGACTAGCAGATGATTAATGTTAATTATTTCTTCGGTCTTCTGAGTAGCCCCCAATTAAACCAAGTTTGCAATTTTTGTCCTTTTAATTTCATTTTCATTCTTCTCGAGAAAATCGCCATTCTAATTTTCTGTTTTATGTGCAGATCTGATAAACAATACCAGAAGGATCAATTAAATTTGTCTTTAAATTCCAGGAAATATAAAATTTTACAGTTTAAATTTTGCACGATCTGTCTAAATCTTTACCGATATACCAACTACTTTGAACATATTAATTGACAATGTTCATAATTTGTGAACATATATTGTTTTTGTCTGTAGGAAGGGACGATACAAAAATTTGGAAGACTTCATGGACAAACACGCAAGAAGGTCCATAAAGGAGCTGCATTTCTGCCTTGGCATCGTGTGTTTATATTAGAGTAAGATTTAATAAAACTCTTGCCATTCGTTCCTTTATACATAAGATGCTTTTCCAATATGAATTCGGCTTCAAATGCGTGTTTAGCAAAAGAAAATTACATAACTTTTTCTGATAAAATTGGAGTAACTTATAAAAATAAGATACTAATTGGCGTTACGAATCGTACTATTTATTCAGACACAGCTTGTTGAATACAAGATAAATGTAAATGTAAATTCGCTGTAGTGTATATAGTTACATTGTAGGTGCGATAATAAGATAATTAAACACTTGAACGACGAAACACAAAATATCATACCCTACGCTGTCATACAAAACACAATTTATCACATGTTATGTTTTTGATTGTTTTTTTCAGGCAGTATTATCAACAAATAACTATATTTTATTCCTTTTTATATTTACAAACCATGGCCCATAAATTAGATTAGAAAACTTTCTTTTCTTACAAGTTTTAAGTATCTTTAGATTGCCTTCTAGAATGATATGTAATGCATTACCGATGCAATGAATGGTTTTAAATGATAAATTGAGCAGTGTATAAACATTATTCTCAGTATCAAATTTCTCAACTTTCCATTTACATCTTTAAACTGCTCGTAAAAGTCATCGAAATCATTGGAACGGTGATTACCATTGCATGCGAACAAACCGGATACATACTGTTTTTACCCTATCTTATGAGGGCTTACTATTGCCATAAAAGCCAACATTATCATTTTCAAGTGCAAAGCCTTGATGCACACCATTTGAATATAAATAATTTATTCAATAAATTATTACACCACAAAGACCTTGCACAAAACATACCAAATACAATAACAATGATCGGTTATGAAGAACGATTGAATTAATACATTACGTACTGGGGTACAATGGAGGAATTGAAAATAAATCTTAAAGCTGCATGCCTCCAGATTAGTTAAACGAGTTCGAGAAAATCATATTGAGAAAAATAAATTATAAGATTATAGGATCTTACGAAAAGTGAAATAATTAAATATTCAAGTAATAGCTATGCATGTTATGTGTGATTTATGACTGAGTTTGCAGCATATGACTACTGCGTGACTAACGTAGTCACGGCTTTTCCCGCTTATTTTGTAACTTTATGTTGATTGCAATGTGTAAATTACTTTCTTTGTCCACTTCACGATATTTTACTTTTAAGTACATTTTGAAAATCCCAATGAAAATAAGCGTGAATCTAGAGGCACGCTGCTTTACACTGAGATACACGCTTTTAAAAATTAAAAAAATCAGTTCTTATTTGCTTGGTTTTTTGAGAACAATTATTTATTGTTTGAAAAAAATCTAATTGTCATAACCAAACATATAACATTTGCTTGACATCAAATCACATTGTCACTATTTGGATCGTATTTAAGCATTAAAATTTCATCTACTCTATAATGTCATATTACTGCTTTGCAATTTTATCTTTAAAGGACCTGTTGCATAATTTAAGGCACCAGAATCGTCTATTAATATTTCTCAATTCAAATCTGGAAGAAAATGAGAATGAAAGGAGTAAAAATACCAAAGGTCAGGGGTTAAATATAATTTATAATATTCTATTTTATAAGCTTTGAGGAGGAAATGAGGCGCATTGATGAACGTGTGTTCCTTCCATACTGGGATTACACAATAGATAATAATATCACAAAACCATCTGATTCTGTCGTCTGGTCGGACTGTTTCTTCGGCAATGGGGAAGGATTTATTAAAACGGGGCCATTCCGGAACTGGTACGGCGGACACAGTATACAGATGCAACGAGATTATGCGAGAGGTGGGCAATGTCCGCCGAGACTTATTAATAAGCTTGACATCAACAGAATCATGAAGAAGTGCCACTTTACGGTATTTATGTGACTTACGTATCCTTTTAAGTTATCTTATTTTAAATGTAAACCAGAAACTTACTTATATCTTCCTTTTACGTAAGGTTTCATTTGACCATTTCAAACGTGCCACTTAAATTGTTGCAACTGTATGTATACAGCCATTTAACTTTTGATGATTAAGTTAAGTCAATCGGTGGTATCAAATAATCGTCATTTCGGTAGCCATTTATATTATATACACAAACATTCACCCCCGATTTAAGATTGATTGATAATTCACGATTCATTCGCATATGAGATATTTTTTCAATGCTGAAATATTTTGAATTTACTACAAATCAAAGTGTGTAAAAGTAATTAGTAATGATAAGTACTTACAAAACAGGATGTGACGACCGGCAGTGAACCATTTTATGACAACATTAACAATATCGAGATGTTACATGATGGCGTGCATGACTGGGTCGGCGGAGATATGGACGAATTGCCGTTTGCAGCGTTTGATCCTGTTTTCTACTTACACCATGCTTTCATAGACTATATCTGGGAGAAGTTCAGAAATCGTCAAAGAAACAGGTATGAGAAATATTGTGTCTTCAGTTCGCTAGTTGCTTGTAAACTTTCATAGACTATATCTGGGAGAAGTTCAGAAATCGTCAAAGAAACAGGTATGAGAAATGTTGTGTCTTCAGTTCGCTAGTTACTTGTGAAAATTAAAGTTACATTATGGCCATTTTTTCGCTGGGTAAGATTGGATTATAATAGTGATTGACAAATAATTGCCAATGAAAGTATGTATAATACAATATAACTAAATTATATAAAAGGCTGCCCTACTCTTTTTCAAAGAAACAAGTAAAGCTATGTTTTACATTTATTTATGGAAAAAATACAGCGCATTATACTTTGTAATTATTTTCATTATTTTAGTATCATTAAAATATTAATCTACTTTTTTTCTTGATCACCTTTAACTACACATCAAATCTAGATGTAGTCGAAAATATCCTCCCCCAAAAAGAACTTGTTTTGAATCTATCCATTAATGAAAAGAAGCTTTAACATTTATTTTTAGTATGATATAAAACCTTTAACTTTATGGTTTCATCTATCGTACAATAGTTTGTAAACGTCTATATAGCGATAGTTTTATTATAGATCCCGATCAGTATAACGCTTATGAGACGTTAATTAATACACGACAAGAAAGGTCAAAGTAATATATCAGTTTAAGAATAATAAAAGAGCATGTTTTTCCCTCAGTTGTCATATCAATCCAGAAACCGACTGGCGACCGAAAAATGACCTTTGTCAGATTGGGCGTGAGGATCATGGAGCATTTGATACAATGTTTGGTTACCCACACCTCCGTAATATTGACGGAGCTTGGAACAACATGACACAATACTTCTATAACTACGAAGAACAACCGGAATGTCCACACTGTAGTCATTCTGAATATCTTTATTGTGACACAAAAGTAGACAGTGAGTTTCCTGAAGGTATTTGCTTAACAAAGACAAAGGACGTGTGTGAAAGTGGAGAGAGCATTTTAGACAACGAAAGTGAAAGGGGAACTCAATGGAACCTAGACAATCGCCCCGTCCCATTTACTGTTGAAAGGATCAAAGGAATGTCCGGGGATGGAAGAAGCAGGGACATGTCATTTGAAGATAGTTTCAAGGTTTTACAATCTGAAATAGGTAATTTGTTGCCTGTCAAACATGCTTAGAATTTAAGAAAGTTACACTGCTTAGATCACTTCAGTGCGAATTCAGTAAGTCTAAATATTTCCGGTTTTAAGCTTTTATGTGAATATCATTATTCAAATTTGGACGTCCGGGAACTTTTTTTATTCCAGGAAAAGGCACTCCTCGGAACAAGACAGGACACATGAGCGTGACTGCAAAGAACGCACTATTATTTCACTACACAGTTAAGACGTCAGGTTAGTAGTGTTCTTAATTTCTCTTTGCTATCAAATTTCTGAACAGTTTTCAGTAGAATTTCTTTGAGTGTTTTCTATCTTTTGCCATTTTGATAGGCAAAAATCTCTTAAAACATTAGTAGACCGAATTGATACGTCTGATGTGTCTTATAATTTCAGGTGACAAACACGACGATTCGAAATACAATATATCCCTGCATGAGTGTACAAAGGGATGTTTAGGTCTTACTGTCATCGGGGTAGCCTGCATTGCATTGCTGTTCTGTACAATCGTAGGACTCCTTTTCAAACGCTTTTAAAGTATAGAAGTCTGTACATTTGTATAAAATAAACTTAAGTTAAAGTGCACAGAAAATGATTAAAATGTAAAACTTGCTTTAAGTAAATAAATCTGAAAAATAATTTAAATTAGTGCACTGTCAAGGATGTTTGCCCTGAATGTTTTTTTTAAAAAGGATAGAACATTTTCAAGAATAATATAACAGCAATGGTTTTGAAAAAAATGTCAGATACGTATATATTTATTGATAACGAATTTTAAGCTTCTGCGTGATTTGTACAATCACATTATTGTTTACGATATGTTTTTTTTCTTTTTCAGATAATGACGAAAATGTGTTCAACTTCGAAATGTGAAGCAAATTGTTTGTTTCTTATCAATTGTGTAAAATGCAGCTATTATAAAAACAATAGCTATGATAAAATATGAATGCATTTTTCAAGTTAACATTTTTTGAACTTATTGATCTATGGGCTGTTTCACTATCAGAAGACAACATAATTTGGTATATTTTATACAGTATTAGCCACTATTGCCGTTTTTATCAATTTTAAGTACTAGTTTACAAACAACCAAAAATATTTTAAATTCATCTTGTTTAAATCATTGTTTTACTAAAATTATTCTTGAAGTTTATACAGGTTGCACATTGAACCCATTTTAATGTTTTCAATCAATTTTCTATGACCACCATGTCGCCGAAAACCACCATATTTTATATTTATTCATAAACATTATCATCATATATTTTTCATATGAATGCTTTTATTACATATTTACATATACAACTTATATATATATATATACTGCCAATGCAATGTTACTTGTTTTTTTGTAACTTTTGTATAGATAACAACATATTTTTTCCAATGCTTCTTTTTTAATTTGATTGACTTTGTTTCCAAATATTTGTTAAATGTTCAGGCCGATTATTTGCAATTGCATTTTGCTGTCGTTATTGTTTGCTGCTTAAATTTATCATTTTGAACTGTAATGGAGATCAAGTGTCATATTTTTTTTCTGTTATAATGAATGATTGTTAATTTGTTAAGATCATAGCCATAATATTATTACATATATATTAAAACAATATTTATTATATACTTAAAAATGAAATATTAAGAAATACTGATGAAACAAAATGCGTATTTTCATTTTCCATATTTTAACTGTAAATATTTTTTATACATTGCAGTGAAACATATTTCCATATTTTCATTTTTGTCTTGCCGGACTGCTTTCTTCTAAATTCAGCCGATAAATTAACAAAGTTAAGGGGAAGTCTTCTAAAAAGAGAAAATGTATATAATTAACAGAAATTTCAAGGTCTTTTCTATGCCATAAATACAGGATTTATTTTTATCTTGTGATAAGAAAATTGTCATATTTCGTACCACTCGATGAAGATAAATACTTTATTTATAGAAAAAAAGTTGAATATCCTCTATAAAGTATAGGTTATAAATCATATATATATGAATTGCGTATAAATGAAATAGTAGTGACCACTGCACCTTATTATATAAACTATACCCTGTTTATAGTTCACTCCGCCCCTTTTTGTCGATCCATTTCATGTTACTCACGCCGTGCCCATAGTAGGATATTGGCAGTTGCTAAATTTAAGTCGACGACGGAAACGTGTGAATGTACATGTATATATTAGTTACCAATACAAATCCTTACTAACAAAGTATGTAGATATAAATATGGTAAAAATAGTAAATTCATTAAAGTTTAGAATATTAGATGTGAAGATGTTTAAATTAATTATAACTGAATAAACATTTTTGTTCAACCCTTAAACTTATGTTTCTTAAACTGTTTTATTCTAAGGAGGTCAGCAACTTAACGAGTTTTCAAATTCTTAGTAAACTGCGTTTTATGGTTTGGTTTAAACATCATTATTTATTTGAGCTCGATTGCAAAAAAAATCTTGCAACTTATAATTATCCCTTTCGAGTCCGCTTCCAGGACCAAACCAGTACTGGTGTAATATGAAGAAACATGGTCGTGACCCGAGTAGGGCTCGAACCCATTATCTCTGGGTTGAGAGGCAGATACATTAACCACTAGACCACCGCTCCCTATCTGTGTTTTATAAACAATATACCTACATACATGTATTGTATATTGCACAAGCCTGACTACTAATATGTTTATATATTAACTTAGACTTATATTCATTTGTATTTTAATTCCTGTATTTACATATAAATAAATAATACATTGTACTCTAATTTGCAACTAGATGTTCGTTATTGTTTTTGTTTCATTAGATCATAGTACTTGTAGACCTATTCTGCCTACATGCCTAAGAAAATGTTATCATTCTGAATTCTTAAAAATTGTTTATTTTTTGTTATCTTGTTACAGTTTGAAAACATATACTCATCTACCATATATATATATAGCTATATATATATCCCTTTTTACTCTAATCATACCAATTGCTAAAGCTGCAAAAGAATGTTCATATACATATATATATATATATACCGGTTTTTGTTTACGGCAGTTTATCTCAATGACATCTATCAAACTATGAAGTTTCATGTCCATTGCTTTTATATTTAGGAGAAATTACCTTGACAAAAATTAAATATGTAGATTAACAAAGGACAATAACTAAATAATAAAAAAGCACAAAGTAACTATTCTTGTGATCTGCACTTCGAGTTATTAAAATATTATTAAAATTAAATCTGTTTTTCTGTTGTGATCAATTAGCCAAAAGTGTTACTTTTGATTTTTCGGGTACTGTCTTTATTATGCCCCCCTTCGAAGAAGAGGGGGTATATTGTTTTGCTAATGTCGGTCTGTCTGTCTGTCTGTCGGTCCGTCCGTCGGTCTGTCGGTCTGTCCGTCGGTAGACCACATGGTTTCCGCTGATTATCTTGAAAAGTATTTATCACAAAGTCTTTATATTTTACATAGTGATTGGTCATAACTAGTAGATGACCCCTATTGATTTTGGGGTCACTAGGTCAAAGGTCAAGGTCACAGGGACCTTAAATGTCAAAATGGTTTCCGCTAATTATCTTAAAAAGTATGTACCACAAAGTCTTCATATTTCACACAGTGATTGGTCATAATTAGTAGATGACCCCTATTGATTTTGGGGTCACTAGGTCAAAGGTCAAGGTCACAGGGACCTTGAATGTCAAAATGGTTTACGCTGATTATCTTAAAAAGTATGTATCACAAAGTCTTCATATTTCACACAGTGATTGGTCATCACTATTAAATGACTCATATTGATTTTGGGGTCACTAGGTCAAAGGTCAAGGTCACAGGGATCTTAAATGTCAAAATGGTTTTCGCTGATTATCTTAAGTATGTATCACAAAAGTCTTCATATTTCACACAGTGATTGGTCATAACTAGTAGATGACCCCTATTGATTTTGGGGTCACTAGGTCAAAGGTCAAGGTGACAGGGGCTTTAAATGTCAAAATGGTTTCCGCTGATTATCTTGAAAAGTATTGATCACAAAGTCTTCATATTTCACATAGTGATTAGTCATAAATAGTAGATGACCCCTATTGATTTTGGGGTCACTAGGTCAAAGGTCAAGGTCACAGGGACCTTAAATGTCAAAATGGTTTCCCCTGATTATCTTAAAAAGTATGTATCAGAAAGTCTTCATATTTCACACAGTGAGTGGTCATAACTAGTAGATGACCCCTATTGATTTTGGGGTCACTAGGTCAAAGGTTAAGGTCACAGGGACCTTAAAATGTGAAAATAATTTCTGCTGATTATCTTAAAAAGAATTCATCACAAAGTCTTCATATTTCACAGAGTGATTGGTCATATCTAGTAGATGACTCCGATTGATTTTGGGGTCACTAGGACAAAGATCAAGGTCACAGGGGCCTTAAATGTCAAAATGGTTTCCGCTGATTATCTTGAAAAGTATGTATCACAGAGTTTTCATATTTCACATAGTGATTGGTCATCACTAGTAGATGACCCGTATTGATTTGGGGTCACTACGTCAAAGGTCAAGGTCACAGGGACCTTAAAATGTGAAAATGGTTTCCGCTGATTATTTTGAAAAGTATTCATCACAAAGTCTTCATATTTCACATAGTGATTGGTCATCACTAGTAGATGACCCCTATTGATTTTGGGGTCACTAGGTCAAAGGTCAAGGTCACAGGGGCCTTAAATGTCAAAAGGGTTTCCGCTGATTATCTTGAAAAGTATTCATCACAAAGTCTTCATATTTCACCTAGTTATTGGTCATAAGTATTAGATGACCTCTATTGATTTAGTGGTCATTAGGTCAAAGGTCAATGTCACATGGGCCTTAAATGTCAAAATGGTTTCCGTTGATTTTTCCATAATTGAACACTGCCATGTACCCATTTTTGGCAAGTTTCTTTAATAAAATTACCAATTATGTGAGTCAATGGCTAGAAAGGGGGGTATATGTGTCGTTCGACATTCTTGTTATGCAATAACTCCATTACAATGCAATCATTTTCATAACTGTGGTATCTAATGACCGGAATGCGTTCGGTTTAATGAAACTGTAAAAAATATTCAAAAGAAATATATTTTCCTTGTAAAATGCAATCATCCCGACCGTGTGTTTTCATTGTCCTCAAGTATATATAGATATATTTACGCTTCAAGTCCGAAATATACAGATTTTATACAAAAATTCACGCTGGGATTTTAAGAAATATCAGTTTAGCGTGATTTGAGTACATAAGCTTATTTTAATATTTTTGTCATTTATTCGCAGAGCATAACTTGGTCACTATAAGTTTGATTGACTCCAAATTTGGTATGTTGACCTCAAGTGCAGTGTTTAAGAATCCATCACAGTCTTCTTTTGGATTTGTCAGTGTAAAACATTTCCATGGTATTTTTTTGCTTGCAGCCACGGCTGCAAGCCATCTGTTTTTGGAAAAGTTGTTCCGGTTAGGCGGTTTCCTGCTTACATTTGTTAGTGCATGATTGAACGGGAAACCAGCTGCAATCGTGCCAATCGCAACTTTTTGGCCTTTTCCGTCACTCTTCGTATTAAATGATTATAGCCGATGTAGTTCCGTTTGCAATTCCAAATAAAATAAACCATGACTTATTCTTTTCTCTTGTTATCGTATAACATTGTTAACAGTCCGTAGTACGTACAAACTGACCAATCCGATCGCAAAATTGTCCCAACAAAATGCTATAGTCAAAATAAATATCTGATGGGCATTGGAAGGTGACTTTCATAATATTATAGCTTTTCGTAATATATATATATATATACATATATAGCTTTTCATAATACACACACACATATATATATATATATATATATATATATATATATATATATATATATATATATATATATATATATATATATATATATATATATATATATATATATATATATATATATATATATATATATATATATATATATGAAAAGCTATAATATTATGAAAGTCACCTTCCAATGCCGATCAGAATACGCGACATTTTGTATATATATATATATATATATATATATATATATATATATATATATATATATATATATATATATATATATATATATATATATATATATATATATAATACATATATACATATATATATATATATACAAAAAATGAAAACAAGTGCCGGAAAAAAGTCACATATACATAAAACAAAAAACACAGTCCATGAGTTATTATTATTTTATTCAAACACCTGATATATTAAATTTAAATTACAAATATTATACGAGCTGTTTAATTATCTTGTAAACAATTTTTAACTTCCTTTAAGGTGTTTTATATCTTGAAAAAGTTACAAAGTGACCAGGTTATGACAGTGTTCACAATAATATTAACACACCTTTCACAATTTTAAAGACCTTTTTACTGTGAGTTTATGGTCTTTAAACTGTTGTTGTTAGTGAAACTTAATAATAAAATATAATTGATTTACTTTAAAGTACGCTATTTTATAAAAAAAACATGGCCTATGGATGCAGGCTTCTGTCTTTAATAGTTTTATATTTTTTTAGTAACAATACTTTTAGTTTGATTTAAGTAAGATATTATTATAAAAACGCTAAGAGAATCGACATAACAATATCATTGCATCATAGCAGGGATTTTCATGTGCTACGGAGGGCGAAAGAGGAAATAGAGAGAATAAGAAGCCCTAAAGAAAGCCCAAAACGACAAAATTGAAAATGTTGAAAGTCGTAAATTACTGCTTTAATTTAAGCATTACACATCTTTGACTATGACGTGAACATAAAAATGATATTCACAATGTAAAACATGCATTCTTTTAAACTAACTTTACGATGGAAAATCTCAAAAATAACAATAAAAAACCCAAACTCTTTTAAAGACACCTGACGTGTAAAGGGAGATAATTAGTATGAATATTAGCATAATGACATGCCAGGGTTGTCTCTCTTCTAATAGACTGCATTAATGAAATACAAGATTTTGTATAATGCTTATTATGTTTCTGTTAACTAGCCTTAAAGTAATTGCATGAAAAGTACCGGAACGAATATGATATCTTAAATACTGATGTTGTGGGAAGGGCTGCTGCAAATGTTGTAGCCCTAACCATATTCACTACATCTCTTTATGAATATTTGTTTTTGTAATTATTCATGTAATTTTAATGTATTTATGTAAATATTAGTTGCAATAGAATATTATTTAACTAAATCCGTCCTCGAATTCCACAGAATTACAGAGTAATGTAAATTAAACTCTGAGCTATATTCAGTCACGGCCCCACTTTGGGCACCAAATATATTCGAGTGAGAAAAATGTGCATCCTGATCGGAACTCGGGCTGGACCTTCTGAATGCCGTGAAATTGGTACATGACATGACAATTATGACCAACCAAGGGACTGCTCTTAAGTGGTCTTCATTGAGGGTGGTCTAATTAGAGAGTTTAATCATGATAGCCTGTCTAACTTGTTGACACTGTGTTCCGATATAAGGTAAATGAAATTCCAGCCTTATTTATTGGATGTGTATAGGATAACATAAATTTAAGGTTCAATTCATAAAACTTTATTGCAATTACTAAATAAATAGAAAAATATTCAAGTTTTTTTAAGTATAAATAGAAGATTTTTTTTTCTTCAAGTGGTATAAACATATATGTGTCATGAGTGACGGTAGCCACGAATGCGATATGATAATTTTCATATCATAAGATGGAAATAAATCCTGCATCTATAGAAAAAATGGGTTTTCTGGTATTAAATGCATA